TCCATGGGAAAGTTTTATACTCTCATTACTTAAGATATTTGGTGGAGGAGCCGAGTTTATGAATTTTTGAAAATCCTATGTTAAACCAACCGGTTGTTTCGAAACAATATATCAAAAGATGTTGGTTGTAACTTTCGGATGACCAGGTACGATATGAACCGTGTATATTCTCTTTTTGAGAATCCTATAAGCAGGAGAACCCAAAGTTTCCTCCCTTTCGATTCAGGTGTTATAAAACTGTCAGTAGGGCTGGCAACAACTTGTCCGACTCTAGCTTTTTTCCTTTTGTGTTGCGCCCGATTCTTCGCACCCTCTTCTAAACCCGACAGTTTCGTAAACATGTTTTATTCACCCCCGAAATATCTTCGGTCGCGTAATTTTTCGGGACTCCCTTGATTTACAGTTCACAAACTTTACTTTACCCGGGCTTTGATACGGCTAGCAGATTCGTTCCTCTATTCATCTTGCTACCCTGGCTTGTTTTATTTGCGTACGTTTTCAGGACCAAAGTAAATGAGGAAGGAAATTCGAAACGTCGAAATAAACAAATCGCGGGGTTACGGCGGGAAGTCAGTTCATTCTCACCCACACTGCCCTTTAAAATAATAAACCATTCCCTTAGCAGGAATTTCTGTTTGTTCCTCGTTTGCCGTTTACACGTTTATGCGTGTATGTTCAACACGACATAATTTATTTATGATTCGCAAATACCGAGTAGTGCATGGTGAGTACGCGGGAAACAAATACACACTCCTACGGTGCACAATGCAATTAGCGCCCAACAAATTGTCGTGCAATCTTTTTGTTAACTAAACGATGTGAAGGTTTTGTTTTCTTATTTTTTGCTTTTTTTTTCACATAAATTATAAAAATTATTAATTGTGGTAGTAACCCAAGAGAAAATCCGTATTCTTTTTCTAACTAAATATAATAAAACAATAAAATCGGACGTGTGTGGTACTAACATTGCAATTATTTTAACGACAAGAGAGGAATTTACGGTTAATCGGGCAATCGGACAAGCCTTACAAGTGGTAAGCCGTTACTTATTGTGCGACAGGTGATATGGACAACATTCTCAACGTTCATCTATACGACCAACACGCCAGCGTGTGTAGATGTACAAAAATTCACGTACATGATATACGTGGAACTGGTGCTGCTTAAAGTCTAAGCCGTAGACTAAAGCACGATCCTGATGCCCATATCTGCCTTGTGCGCGAGAGTAATTAAATTTATGTAGACACTTCCTCGTGCTGTGTGTTCGTATACACGCATTAAATTCACGGATTAACAATACTTTCCCCTCGCACGAAGATAGAAACTGTTTTTGAGAAAAATTCATATTTGTATGAAAATTTATTATAGTATTATTATAGGATTTAGTCTTCTATCCAATCCACTCTCATTAATATGCCGTTAAACGCTTAACGGATTCATATGCGGCTAGAGTTCCGCACTTAAACGGGTAATTATCATAATGGGCGAGACTCTGCCATCGGTGTGGTTTTTCGGATATACACGTTCTTTCCTTTAGATATGAAGTTACCGTTAAAAGAGGAGGCATATGTCGAATACGGTTATGTAATCCTTTTGAAGCTCGAAAACGTAATCTCCCGGATAGATATATACTAAATGTGCAAGGATATTCCAGTGTTATCTTCATGATTTATGAGATCCAAACTTTTAGTGTTATTGGGGCGTGCATAGATTACTCTGCGAAATTTACATATCTTTAATTACAAATTACAGTCCGAGGCACCTCCACCAATAATTTTAACAAAATACCCGGTCTATAATTTTATTAATTTTACTTTATACTGAAACAAATTCAATTGTCATATTAAAATCTTCGCTTTTATCTCGAAACATCACACAACTACTAATATAAGCAAAATATGCGTATAAATGGTTTCGCGTCGACTATAATTGCAACGATTATGGTAACGTTGATAGACACGTTCTGGTCATTATCGTAATAAATCGACAACTAACAAATTCATCGCCGATACTTATATTGTATTAATAACATGTCTATAACGACATGAATATTCATGCTTCTCCGTGAAAACCGGATGTTTCGTCGACAAGTCTTAAAAGACAACCTGATTTCTCTACTTCAAGTTCACTAAATTCTCGGTGATATCTATGTGCTTGGTGATTTATTTTCTGGTAGATATACTATATCGGCATAGTAACGGTCCTAGGCCGTGACGGCGTCGCACGCATATCAAAAGCTGCAAATCCAACGGAGAATCTGGTGGTGATAATACCGCGGGTGTAATAAATACAGCGAGGAAGAGCATCGTGACGCCCGTTTCGTGCGCTGAAAATTTAGAGGAATTCCACCACGTAGAATGTCACGTGTATCGCGTCGCAGTTAATTTAGAATTGAAGCTTAGTTCCGTGTTTTCCCATCTTTGATAATTCCAGATTTATCATTATTGTTACGATTTCTTTTGTGAGATGGCAGTTTGGATAACCTTCCTAATACGGTATTTAGATAAAAGCGGAAGTTTTGTTCGTTCCGTTGATAGTTAGTATCTAGGGTACTTGTACTATGTCCGGCATAGAGAAGAAGAGAATAGATACGGCCCCGTCGGCAAACCACGACAAGATGTAGCTACGTTTATTTCGCGATACGGGAAACGATCGGCGATTACACGGCAATAAATTACCGGCCCGCGGACGTTAATACTACAGAAAGAGCGGCGTTGCGGTTCCGAACAATGTTACTATATCATATATTATTCATTAGCCGTCTCGTCGTCGTCGTCTCTTTATTTACATAACGGCCCTAATAAGAAATGAAATATTGTGTCGAACGTGCTGCTTCGCTCGACCAGAGGTGCGTCTTATTTCGTCGTACGCAGATGAATAATGCAAAGTTGGAAATTGAATGCCGCCAGGGTGACGTTTATAAATGGCGACCTGCAACGTCGTTTCAGATTCTATTCAGAATTTCTTCTGGGCGGTCATAGGTGACAATTCTACCAAATATGACCACCCATTGAAAATTTCCTATCACTATCTTAAGTATTTATTGAATCTGCACAAATTTTTAAGAAATTATTTTAATCCTGTTTACTTACAAATCATTTTTGACAAGAAGGAAACACCATCTTCCTTTTGTTCTTACTAGAGCGGTAATGGCACCTTCCGTATGTACTTACACGGGTGGTTGATTTTTTCTTTGAAACCCGAATGCGTCACTAATTCTTTGATTTATTGTTATAAGTTCACAAAGCTTGTGACGACAACATCAATCATAATCTAAAATGATTTGCGGTTTACCACTTACCTCATCAACCTCGTCGCCTGAAAAATTCTTAGTAGAGAGCAGAAGTGCGCTTTTATTTTTTCGAAGAATTCGCATTTCGACAAATGTTTTTATCCATATCTTCGTGGCTTATTTGGCATAAATACACATTTACCTTGAAAGTCTTGCAGAATTGTATTTACTGTAGCGTATTGAGATTGAGATAGAGAGATTTAATGTTAAGCAAATATGGAACGTTGAATGAGTTTTAATTAATTATATAGTATTGTTAATTAGTTTTAAGAAATCAATACCAATTTGAAGTTACTTTTTAATCTTTTAACAAATCGTGTTGTTATTGTCCAGATTGCCAGGCGATAAACCTTCAACAATAGTACTCTTAATTGCACGCTGGCAAATTTACCACCGGACTGAGATGTTCTCGAAGTGAAATAATTGTATGGAATAGTGTCTAGAGTGTCGGGACGAACGAACGGACAGCCCGGGCGTAATAACTTAATAATTTACCTTCAGCATCGGGTGGTTGTTTTCTTCTCCGTTTCGCACACCTCGGTGTATCTCTGACAAAAGGCGGACGCTTTTGTCGGCTAGGTCTTTGTCCGACTATGGTGAGGGTGATTTAAACGTATGTGTGTGTGCGTTACTTCTTGGAACCATCCTCTTCGTCGATTAATTTAAACCTCAACGCCGCAGCCGTGCGCGTGATGAACACGTTATGTTCGCATCGTCGTGCGAGGGACGTCGACTAGAAAATAGCCACTTTAGAGAAGACCGTGCAAATGGGAGCTGTGCACATCTCAGGAGTATTATGAAGATGTTGAATAACTATTGTGGAGTAAATACAATTTCACGTATTATAACAGAAACATTTAATAAATCAACTTGTTATTATTAAGAATTTTATAACGTGTGGGAAAAATAAAATAGTAGGTCACTAAAATTATTTTTAAATTACCCATCATTTTCAACTAAATGATATTATTATGTTACCGTTTAAGTCTAATAAACGTAGAAGTAAACGCAATTTAACAACACAACGGTTTGTTCACACATTGTAGCTGGGTTCAGAATATGGCGGTTGAAAAGGTGTTCGATTAGATATATGGGGTTTGAGTAACGCAATCTGACCTGTATAATGTATAAGCGTACCTTTGGCAAGGGAATTTAAACGATTTACGCCGTAAATCCGGAACATATTTTTTTTTGTTTTTAATTTGAGAGCATGCATTTGTTGCTCTCGTTTCAGTTTTAACCGTATTGAATCCGATACCCTTGCTTTGTCGATTAGAAAACACCGCCAACGTCAAAGCATTTTGCTTTTGGATTATCCGCGGTGTAAATTACAAAAAAGTGTTGTTTGCGTTTGTAGAATTTAGTGAATTTATTTCATATTTCCACCTCAATTTTTTTTTTGATTTAATCTACATACGAGTCGATTATTAGTTTTAATTGAAAATATGATATTTGCCGCTATTCTACTAAAAATCTTTTTTTGTGAATACGTTATGTATCCATTCTTGTTTAATTTTATTTACCATCGATATCAACATTTCAATCAAGATTTGATATTTCATTATTATCAATTTGATTTTATTATTTCTTTTTAATTTTTTTTTTGTGGAGTAAGATATTTTTCGTGATCTATCTGATTCAGCGAAATCGATCTTGACGGAAATACCTTTGGGAGGTGCTTTGAAGTTGATGGGATTTTCTTTTTCAGCACACGTTGACCGGCCACTCGGGAAAGGTTATGGCAGCGAAATTCTTGGGAGAACCGTCCAAAGTTGTGACCGGGAGCCACGATCGCACGTTGAAAATTTGGGACCTAAGGAGTCGAGCATGTGAGTATAACCATGTTATGTCTTTCCTTATATCCTTCGTTTTGTGTCTTATTAGTTAGAATTGAAGTTAAAAAACATTAAAATTGAATGATTTCTTAGAGGGTTGTAAATAAAGGTGTTAATTTCAAGGCAGGACCTCGACATAATAAAGATTGATCGAACGCGTCGCCCTAAAAATGGGAAGCCATTAATTTTACGAACAGGGTCTCTAGGTTGACGAGGGCCACAGCGCGAGGATTCGGACGAGGGGTGGCATGCGGCATACAGATAAGTGCTGAAAAATGCCAGGTCATAATTTAATTTAAAATCAATTTAGCGCAAACTCGTCTCCTTCCGGGGAAGTTGGCGCCACCGCCTTCGATGACAAGGAAATTTGGCGTCCAGACGTTGATCCTCTCTCGTCCAGACGTCTATTCTGGTCTTCCTTTTGCATCGTCGTCTCCCCCTTTTACATCACCACTACAATAACAGTTCCACCCCTGCGACGTTTCCAACTTTTAATCCTCTGTTCGAATAAGGTAACCCCCATAAATTGTTAACGACTTTTTTATTGCGACGCAGCCCACCGTAGACGTAAATTAGTATGACCGCCGCGGTGCCTGGTATCTGTTCCGTGGCATTAATGAGGCGTAAAATTTCAAGGCACCCACGATACCGCACGCTCTCAGTTTTAATTGAGAAAATACAATTTCCCTCCTTCCAACAGTACGTCCCCCAGCTTCAATGGTAATCGAATTTTTGAAACGACCCTGCTACTCACGACGTTACTGTTACAGATTGAAGATTTAATAGCAGAATTAGGCCAATTACTCTTTAATATCTTAACACATTTTCTAACAAACTCAAAACACACAAAATTGATTATTTCATTTTTATTTAATGGAAATCTATTCGTTAGAAGTAGTAAAGGTAGATGTTATAGAAGCGTGTAGGCGTTCATTGTAAGGGTTGTTTATGGAAGCAGGGTTTGCTTTGTTTAGCTTGTATTTCGGTTTCTCATTATAATTGGTTCATTCGCAATTTCAAATATATTCATAATTTCGCTCCTAATAGTTTCCTTCCACGACGATGCCGAATATAGACATCTCCTTAGATATGGTGACTTGTAAATATGGATAAATAAGCTATAAAATAAAAAAAGTCTTTAATTCGCAATTAGGTTATTATAAAAACTCGTAAAATATCTAAATAAGCTGATACTGTAAATAACACGCTGAGAGAACCGTACCTCATTTACAAGTTATAATTAGAAGACCGTAAATTTACAAGTTACAGACATTAAAGTATATTTTAAGTTTATGATATACATCAACATATTACTTAAAAAAAGATCCTGTCGATTTAATAATCATGAACCTTTAATAATCTCCTTTACACATTAAAAAAAGTGTTCTCATTCGATTTTCTTTGATACTTAAAAACGCATTTCGCTCCCCGGAAAGTGACGATTACGATCTAAAAACGTAAAAAACTTCATGATGTACACCTATCTAAAGGTGTATCTTATTAGTAATTGACAGGATGAGCTTCTAACGAATACTAAGATAAAGAGGTGGTTTTAAAAGGGCAAATCGGAAAGTAATCGCCGGAAAATTGGTGTGATTGAAATTTCAATATCACGACCTAACGCAGATTATACGGTAATGAGAGAAGAATGCCTAAATTACCAATGAAAGCAAAAAAGAATTACCTTTTGATCCTATAAAGTGAGAATTAAAATTTTCGAGTTAGTTTACAAACGATTCTGATTATTTTGATAATTAGATAATTACGTATAAGGTTTCATTTGCACCTGTCAAAGGAGATTGGAATTCTGTGTGTGATGTGTTCGTGCCCTAACTAATTAACCATCCAATCGTACACGCCAAGCTTTACTAATTAGAACGCTGATTGTTATTGAAGTCAGCGAAGTATCAAATATTTGTAGATACGGTGAATGGGTTTGATTGGTAACACGTTCTGATTTCAATCTTAAATTTGTGACCCAGTTTTCATTTTCTAAAGATCAATCCCGTAGTAAATTTTGTTTTCAACGAGTTTTCCCAACATTATCGGTAGTAAAACTTATCCAAAGTTCGATAACGTGATAACACCCCAACGTAGATACGGTGATAATTCCGCCATTCGTCTCCAAACAGTTTACGACGACGACGACGACCCGTCCAATTGAAGCATAGCCCGATTACCTCTTTGCCCATTGGAATAACTCACGGTGGTTGAAATTATTTGTTTTATACTATTCCGAGACCATAACGGTCCGTTATCCGGAGATCGTAATAACGACGAAGACCCGAAGGCGAATTGCTCTTGCTCTGAATTCGGAATCCTTTACTTACGCGCTTCCTAAGATACCGTCATGGTACTCTAGGTGCCTTCCTGGTACCGGCGGGTTCGAGATCGCATTAAACCCATTAAATCCGTCGACTAAATTAGACACGTCCAGCAAACAGCACCTCTCCGGCTTCGTTCCTAATACCTCTTATTCGCCTATTACACGTTATGGATTACTTTCGTTTCTCGTGAAGGTGGACTTTTACTCTTTTAGGTCTTGAAACTCTCACTCTTCTCTCGATACCTTCTCGATATCGAACCGTTCTCTTCGTGGATGGCGATTATTGGACAAGCCGATTTCAACCTTCTGACCGCGTGGTTTATCGTTTCCCAGTTCACCTTTAACTAATAGTTGTGAGTTAAATCGATCTGTCAATCATAAATCGGTACTTGACTCTTAAAATCGATTTATGGAATCTGAGAAATTGCTTAGAACGTTTCGATTAAGTTTTTTTGTTAACATCATTATTTATTGTCAACCATCGATAATTGATTCCAATAGTAATATGATTGATTTTAGATTAGTTACAGTGATTCTACCTTTAAAATGTTCTATATTGAACTTAATTCTCAACATCTCTGACGATTTCCGTAATAAATCTATAACATGTCGTAGCATAATTTTCGTTATTACACTAACGACATAACGTCACGTATTACGACCGAAAGACCATAACCAATGAAAGTTGATTAGCTAAATCAATCCAGACGACGACGGCGACGACGATGACATCCATTTAGAAAGGCTGGAAAGAATGATGTGGTAGTGATTAACCGAGAAATAAGTGCTTGCGGCCTCTGCGCGTTTGATGACGACGACCCATACGAGCAATACCATGGGTAAAATATGCTTGTGACCGTCTTGGAGCCATAAACTTTATCCCCCTTTCACCATCCGGAAGTGCGGGTAAACCACCGCCAACGAGATTTTTAAATACACCGTGCTAAATCAACACCTAACCTCTAACGATACTATTTTAAATTGTATTCAAATTGTTTATATTAATTTTTATTTCAGGTATAGAAACGAAATTTGCTGGTTCGAGTTGTAACGATTTAGTAACTGCAGATGGATCCGGATCAACAATAATTAGTGGGCATTTTGATAAAAGGATACGATTTTGGGATACGAGATCTGATTCTGGACCGAGAGAATTCGTTTTAAATGGAAAAGTTACTTCGCTGGATTTAACAAGAGGTACAAATTATTATAAATTAATATTAATTAAAAATAACTTTATATAAATAATCATGAATTAGTACAAAAAATTATTAATTTATTTAGTTGGCAATTAAAATTTTTAATTTAGATAAAAACATATAAATTATAAAAAAGAAGTTATATATGTATAAATAACTACCGGCAAGCAAAAATTAGAAAGAAATCCGTTTAATTAAATAGAATATCGGCTTAATTATTGAATGGCAATTTAACGTTAAATAATTAATAGGAAAATTCGATGATGTAATTGGCAGGTGCGTTGAATATATTTTAATGAAGAGGGGAAACGGATAAAGCACGTATTAATAACAACTCGCTTCGAACCATAAGGATATACAAAAAAAATTCAAATCATATTGATTCGCTCCCGAACAATTATTAAATTTCCATACGCTTTGCATATTATCAATTTCAACATCTAATGTCTTCTATTTCTATCTCGCTCTACACTCGACATGAGTGATCAAATGGATAGATGATTTTAAAACTTTTTAAAGTAAAACTACTTAAATTTATGTAAATGATTGTAGTCGTTGCATTATCATAAAACTCGAATTAAACTAAGCCTCCTATTAATTAACCAGCGAGCACCCAATCTCTCGGTGCGGATCTCGTTACTGTCACTTCTTCATTACCTTCTTCTTCTCATCTGGCTGTTGGTTCAGTAGCAGAAGCGGTTCTCGTTGGGGGGATAAAGTCATTCAACCCATATATGGGACTATTTGTGGCTTACTGGCACAAGTTTACTTCCTGGAGAATACGGTTCGTTGCTAATGGGATCATTTAAAAAAAAATTACTAATGGTTTCGTCTTAATTAAAACGTACCGGAACTATAAAAAAAACTGTAACTTCTCAAGTTGCATTTCATCATGTATCTACGATTATCTTCAGTATACAAAAAGGAGATACAATACAGTACAGAAACTGTTAGAACAACTAGGAATTTTAATGAACGAAATAAATCTTTTTGCTTTATTCTCGATCCGAGAAAGAAGTAAAAACGGCTTCAAATCGAACCGGTTAAACTAATTGTAAATGCAAATTCACACTAATGCCATCGCAAATTGAGTTTCGTAATTTATTTTTCCGTATTTCAAGGGTCGGGTCGGTCTCGGGCTTCGGCGCTTCGGGGCGGTAATGTAAACTAATTATGCAAATTTTGTCACCTGATAAAATAAATCTGAACTTTTCGCGGCGGCGACCACGCCTCTCTTAAGGCGTTCGTAATGGAGTTAAGAGAGGGCGAACTGAGGCCCTTCTTCGTCCTCGTCCGGAGAGATAATCCGGACGCTTTCTCGCACAAATGACTCCGACGAAATAAAATAAAACAAAATAAAATTCGTACTGAACTATAACGATGTTACAGTGCAAATTTTAACTTGGCTCATTAACAACTAGTAGTAAAATAAACTTTTTATTTTGTTTTAGATGGAAAGTACCTTTTAAGCTGCGTAAGGGATGATACTTTAAAATTAATGGATCTTCGTGTCAATCAAGTGATTCTAACATATAGGTAAAGTATTTATTTACTTTTAATTTTTTTTGTTTTAAGCGTTATCGAGTTCTTTATGGTTCATCGTACGTCTCGATAAAAGGACGATGGCCACATAAAAATAAATCCGTCAAGGGGGCGGTCGAAAATTTCCATTTCCTCCGGTGGTGGCACAAATATAATCACAGCCCCCGAAAATTCAATTTTGCAGGTGGTCCAATCCGATTGCGGCCGCTTGAGCCGTCCCTCTTTAAAAAGGTCCTTCGGATTTAAAAAAAAGTCGATCGTCCGAATCCGATTTGACTTTTACTTTAAATGTACTAACGTTTAATAAAAGATTGATTTATTACCTTTTTATAAATTAAAAATCATCTTTTTCATTAATTTTAAATAATATAAAAATAGGAGTATGCGAGGTGTTGTAAAATTTGTGCAACAAATTGTTGTTTGTCGTATTATTCACATTTCCCTGCATCTCTTTACGGGAGTAAAAAAAAAACGTTTTCCGTAAACTCGCTTGTGGACGATTGAACGCGGTGAAAAAATCAAGGTGGATGGAAAAGCGTGCGAGCTTTGACTGGTAAACCGACACAGCGTCTCAAAGAGCCAAACGCTAGGCTGCCAGCTGAGTGCTTTGATCTAAAACGGAGGGAGTACTAGAAGCTGCCGTAATTGTGTATGTAGTTAGAGGGACGTTGTACAAACGCTACAAAGCGTTGGGAAAACTGCACGGGAGAAGCTTATATTTTTGGGATGCCATATTTATAGTTTACACTTTACCCGGCACCTCCACCAAAACAATAAAAAATAAAAGCTTAATTAGAAAAAAAATCAAACGAATTTCGTAATTAAATTACTTAATATATAACTAGATTTCAATTTGGTGGTTTATTTGATTGAATGGTTCATCGCAATCACGGGCCATTAAATAATACGGGAACTAAACAAATCGGCGATGCATTATTAAGCAACGTGTGAATCCCGCGTATGTACGCGAAGCACCGCAGGCCTAATTTATAAAACGTGTACCGGGCGGCTCCGGCGGCCAGACGCGTTTATCGATGAGCTCAATTAATCGAAATTGAATATTCATTAAGCGGGACCATACGAATCGGGTAGGTATGGTAGAAACCCGTTCGAATTTTAACCAACTTACAGCGAATACCTAGGGGCAGTTCGGTTATACGCAGTAGTAAGCCTGGTGGCTCGTAAAAATGGCATTTTTCGAAACTAGAATAAAAATCGCACGTACTCTCAGTGTCGCATTGATAGAATCGATAATGAGGGAGTCATTTTTACTGGTCGATATGTGGTGATGCGGCTCTCTCGTCTGCTTGTAATTGACGAGAGTAATTCTGCAAAACTCTGAACAGATTTTGCTGCAATTTGATACCATTATGTTTGAAAACTAGGCATTTGTACAAAAAAATGTTAAACCAAAGTTACACAGAAATAGCTGAAACGTAAAAAGCTCTATTCCTATTATTCAATTTATTTGATATCGAACAGTTCTGTCAACCGCAATGTTCACATAATCAAAATTGGCTTTGTTTACAAAATGTTGCCATTCAAAATCAAAATTTCTTTAAATTCGTATAAATCGTTATGGTCAGATTCTGTCATAATGAGCATGCTTTGATAAATTTGAATCTCATTTGTTTACAAATGTATATTATACCGTAAAAGAATGTTAGGAAAGGTTAGTTTTCTTTTGTAATGCCAATTATGCCGTGAAAAAATTTTGAGTAAGTTTACTTTTCTTTAGATATGATAATTATGCCATGAAAAAATGTTAAGTAAGATTATAATTGTTGCGCAGTTCTTGGTAGTAACGTTCAATACTTCTTCAGTGTTTAATAACAGTTCATCATCCCTATTAGTGAAGAAGAAGTTGAAGCAGCACTATTAAAATGGGAATTTCTTGCAACCCCAATTTTCAAGCTTTAATTTGGTATATTTAATTTTGTTCTATTTTAAAAATGAAGGAAGATAATCCCAAAAGTACGTTCAAACTTTCTTGGTTAATACAACAGATAAACAATAATTGTTTATACGAAAGTATCACAACTGTTCCAGAACTTTATTATTACTCTACAATGCTTATGATTAAATTAGGTCAAATGATATGTAAATAATCGAATCAAACATTCGTATTTTTATTAAACTGATATATGATTTTATTTTTTTGAATCTATCCATAAATCGTTTAATTTAACATTTTAATAGTGTTTAATTCCGGGTTATATATCACCTAAGGGTAAGGCTTACAAATCACAAACCAACCCGACTATGTAATTACTAATACCAGAAATTTAAATTTGATTCTTTTTTGATATCTGCCAACCTTGAAATAGCACAAACTGATTACTCTCATTAGATCGTTCTGGATAGCCGTAACATCTTGCTACCGCATCGAGCGACATTTTAAATATATCTTTCTGATGATATAGCGCCGATAGTTTAGTGCGTGTAATCATCGCCGTCGACGGATTGCGCCCATTACGAAAGCGCTCTCGGTGTCGCATATGTGTGCATTTCAATGTGTTCGGGAAAAAACGAAAAAAAATTATTTTCACGCTCGGGCAGTGTGAAAATTACAAAAACAGGGATGTAGATTGGAAAATAATAACACGCCCTTCCATTATGCTCAGAAAATCCCTAGCTTTACTGGTAATAACAGTATCGATCCTTGCGTTTTTAAGTTTTTAAGTCAAAATAGTTTCAAGCTTAACATCATAATTAAAAAAGAAATCTTTTTTATCTTCTTTTGTAGTTGTGATGGATTTAAGGTTGGTTGCGACTGGTCAAGAGCAACGTTTAGTCCTGATGGCCAATACATTGCTGTTGGTTCAGCGGATGGAAGCGTTTACATTTGGGGCGTGAATACTGCGAAGGTCGAAACGATTTTAAAAGAGCACACGTAAGTACATACAGTTGGGTTCCATTTCTTGCTTCTTGCGCGCTTATTACCTCCCTTAATGTGCTTCGTATTTATCATTTCTACGTTCCCAACAGTCAAATATCCTTCACATCCAATCCTTTATATGCTTTCAAATTGAATTCGTGCGAAGAAGAATTCTTATAAAGCATTGTAATCTTGGTTCTACACTCGATTTATTGCCGGGGAGTTTCTCGCTCCCTCTCTCGTTAAAAAATTCTTTCGGACTGTTATAGTCTGCACAAATCGTGGTCTATTATGGTAACGATCATTATACACGACGCCCGCGGTTCGAAACGAAAAAGTACTTTACCTTCGTGAAATAATGTCGTAATTAAGATTTGCACAGTTTTTTTTGCTACTTTTTCTGGTCGATTTTACGCGGTTGCAACTTGGATTAATGAGCCGTGCTTAACTATTTTTTTTAACTTAAACGATATCTTATTTTCTTACAAGATGTTCTTCTGGTCTTTATTAATTGGTTATAAACGTAAACTAATTAAAATTAGCTAATAATCACCTGTGGTTTTATAAATGTAGGTTCTCTTATTACAGATTTATTATCACGTACAAATATTTTATGTGTTATATTTAAAGTAATACATTTCAAGTAAAAGGCTCATCTTTTAAGGATTCTTCCGACATTGTATGATAATTACAAATTGGCGAGCGAGTAATGCACGATGAGCGGAGAATCTGAAAACGTTAAAAACAGTACAAAAACGTCTCCGGTATGGACACTTAGTCCTCTACGTTAGTAATCAGTCAGTATGCCCGCCCAACAACCTTAGATGGTCTTTTTTTCGAGTGCGGCCGAGTAAAGTATAGGCGCGATAATGGAGCACTTGCGTCATTATTCGCGTTTTCTCGGCAGGAAGAGACGCTCTCATCTTCTTTGGTATCTTGGGCTGGGCGTAATTTAATTAGTAGCGAGAACGTGTCATCATCCAGAAAATTTTATGGAGATGCTTTAACTTTGATGGTAACTGTAGACATGAGTTATTGAGTATTTTATTGATAATATTTAAATAAAAATTCTATATATGTAGATAGATATCAAGTCTTCATTTGGTTATCCAATCAAGAAGTGACTTACACATTGAAACTAATCATCTAGAAATTATCATATATATTACATAATTTGCAAGCAATTTATACGTAATGAGATAATTTCGAAGGTGAATTATACATCCTCTGTAGCTTAAAAATTAATAATATAGAGTAGAGTATGTGGTTAAAACAAACAAGATTGAATTATGCAATTTCGATTACACAATGAAATCGAATTCCTTTTAACAAATAAGTTCTTCGGTTGCTGTTAATTCCTTCGCGTTTATAACATCTCATTTTCAACACTTTGTGGTTTTAAAAATTGATAAATACATAAATGGGAGATCGATTTTGTAACATAAATTGGATTCACATTTTGAATAAAATGTTTTTCTTTTAATTTCAAAAACTTAATGGATAATATGAAAGAAGTAATATAAAGATAATGATAGCGTTGGAAAGCAGTCAATTTTCTTGGTATAAAATATAATCCATTAAACACTCTTAACATTAACAATCTTTATGGTTGATTGGAAATTCCTTGGAATTGATTTCAGTTTAGAAAAGTTAAAAGGTAGTTATAGACAAGGAAAAGACGTTATTGAAGAGAAGAAAAACTGGTTTAATTGATAAATTAAAGTAGGTGCAGCCACTTAAGGGCGAAGATCGTAAAAATGAGCTCCGGTTGTGATTTATGGCCCCGACGGCGGCGGAGGCAACCGGAGAATCTTGTACTCTCCGGGAGTCACTTGAATTTATGGGTTGAGATTAGTTTTATTACACACCTAACTGGGGCGGCTTCGTGGCCCGATTATTAGACCGATATTGTTTAAAGTTTCCCATACCCCTCGGTAGGTAGTTCTAATACTCTCCCGTTAAAACTTTCCGCACTCGCAAATCGCCAGAGTTTCAGCGATAACCAGCGGTGCATGAAATTTCGACCGTGTACTACCTCCACCAACGTAGTGGCGTGCTGCTATCTACAACCACTTTAAACCAGGCTGTGTAAAGTTCCCTCCTCTTCGAGTTTATTATGGGCATTAGATCGATTGAATACCTTTACATCATCGACGACGATGATTTTTCAATACAAAATAGTTCCTTACTTTTTAAAGTTGATGATGTGTCACCAGATCACATATTTCAACTTTGGACACGTCGTTTTTCTTTCAGATAAAATGGTAAATTTCTTTTCTTTTCGACAACCCTCCAAACAACGGTAACCTTTCCAAAAGGGTGTTTCACATAAAATCAATATTTTTCAATCTATTTCTATTTTAACAACTTATCAAAATCATTTTAACTTCTTTGATGTTTGATTGAATATAATACAAGCCAATTTGACATCAAACCAGAAATCCGAAAGAACTGAAACGATACATTACTCTCGCCACTGCTCTCAAACTATTTCAAAACGAATATTAATTTAAACAAACAATTCTGTTATGAAATTTTAAACGAGTTTTGGTTTATTATTAATTTTCGATACAAACAATTTTAAAAACAATATTTGTTTAATAATCAAAAATCGGCACATCGCGATGTTATTCAACTAAAATCCTGATCAGAAAATGAAGCAATTTAAATTTACGTCATGTTAGCTCGATTTAATATTACTACATCCCGAGGCAATCTCATCGCACTTAGCTACATCCACGTGTCTTGTGTAACCTATTTTTATTTTTGATTTATCCTTTTTGAATATCCTTCACGCTCTCCGCATCCTTTCATTATACTTCTTTGCTTTGCTTGCCCATTTTGTTTTCTTTTATGTGCTTAGATCTTATGGCATCTTCTCCAGGTCAGCCGTAACAGCCACCGCATGGCATCCATACGCTTCATTTTTAGTCAGCGTGGATAAAACGAAAAAAGCGGTTATTTGGAGTAATGTCTAGTACCGATTCGATCAAAAATTCGGACCACCACGTCAACAACGTGATATTTGCAGCCTTTCGATACAGTACCATTAAAAAGAAAACGAAAATAAACATCACCTCGGAAGACTTTTTTTTTAATTTAATCGTTTGTTTCTTATTTTGGGGGAAGGTTTCCTTATTATTTAATACATAAATCTGTTCATATAAACTCTTACATAAACTAGTCTATTTTTGTAGTCTTATTATTTCAGATTATAATTTAAATAAACTCACCTACAATAAACTTATTTGTATATATTTTTTTTTATTTAATAAAATGTTAAGGTTTGTGATTAATGTCCCCTCGGTGTATCTTGTCGTTTCATTGAGGAAGAAACGGTCCAGATGTCATCCTACGCGAGATCTTCTAACATTTCTTTATCATCTACGACATTGATGAATTGCGTCGCGACCGTTTTATTTTGAATTTTCGCCGCGTTATTTTAAAACCGAAAATATATTTTATCTTTCGTCTAATGTATCGCGTTCGTAATGGCTGTTAAAAAAAAAAAAGAAAAAATAATAAGTGAATTTAAACGTAATTTTAGACTAAAAGAAAAACAAGATAAATAAATAGAATATTAATATAGGCGGATTTTAAAAGAAACCTTAATTTAAGATACATTTTATTATATTGTTATATTTTTACTTGTATACAACAAAAAAAGAAAAGAAATTCTAGAAAATTCTTTTCTATAATGGCTGAAATATTTTTTAAACGAAATAAAGGATCTAATATATGAAAATAAAAATGAAGGAAACGTTGTTTTTATTGCTTCTTCCTTGAAAATATGGGCTCGATCAGAAAACGAGGTAAGTGCTATCAAAAATCCCCATCTGGTAACGATATTTCCAGGAGGGAGTCTCTAAGCGATATAGTATATAAATAAATAATGCGACGGACGATGGCTATGGGTCTAAAAGGCCCTAAGTGGTTCTCTACTAGGTAACAGGTGTTGCAGCTCTGCAGGATTGGTTGCAGATGTTCTTAATTGGGACATTTTAGAACATTTAACGATAAAAGCGAATAAGCTTTTTTAAAAACTTTTCTTATTTATTAAGTATTAATTATACACTTCAATATTATCTAATAAATTAATTTTTTTACAAGTTAACTTAATCAAAATTGGACGTCAGCGGCAAAAGGGGCAGTATAAAGGCAACGGGTGTTACCACTTCATCATATACACAATACCATTTATCGTAGAACCGGGTCTTTGTGATTGACATTTCGGGAAATAAATACATGGAACGTTGTCGCTGTTGAAACTTTTTGGTGGAGGCGCCGGTAAAAATCATTTCTTTAACGATAAAATAGTTTTATCTTTATTTATTGTTGATTAACAATCCTTCCCCACGGTAAGTACTAGTAAAATGTACTTGTACCGGCTAAAAATCCACCTGAACAAGAGGTAAGCAATTTTAAACTCAAAATCAAAAAACCATGTACGTATATTACACTATTCTTGCAGGCATCATATTCTTGTAAATATTGCTAGAAATCTTTAACATTCAACCAGAGCAACCCCTAATGATAGTGGAGAGCATGTACAAGTTTGCAGAAAAACGTTTTCTAATATATTTGCGTTAAGCCACAAGAGGGTGCAAGTTCTTGTGGAAAAAAAGAAATCTTACACAGATGAACGTGGTAAAAAACCAACTTCAGCAGTTACCTAGTGTTCAAAATAGACTTCCCAAATCTCAGATTCGGAGGGCCTAGATAGTGAAGATAATACTATTTCAATTGATTCCGACTTTAACTCATTCGGATATGTTTTACAGTCGGTTATTATCGAACCCTCTAAAACAGTTTCTTAGTGCGAAGACCAAAAGAAAAAATATCTTATGCATGCTACATTTGTTGCTTGTTACACACTTTGTCGCCGCCGATCGTCATCAATAATGTATGAAGTATATTTTCATCGTGAATTCTTTTTCTTATCACCGTTAGCGTTCCTTCAATTTCCTACAAACCGTTTACTGGATTTTCTTTTAACGCGGATCTTGCTATTAAAGGGGGTTTCTACGAAAGCGATTTGCTGAATCGGTTCGATTTTAATTAATTAAAAAAGTTTACAAAGACACCATGGTCTCTATAAAAGGTCCGCGTTTAGCGGTGATGAGCAAGCGATTTAATTGCATACCTCGCGCTGATATTTTAATGGAAGCCGAGGGGGTAGACTCGAAAATTGCACTACGTGCTACACAGTTTCGGCGGCGTTGACGAAAAACTGCCCGTTAATTAAAACAAACACTGAATACGTAATATGGCCAACTTGGAAACTGGCTCTACCGCCGCTCTGCAAATTTTCTGCTTGCACTGTTAAATTTTGTATGCATAATGCATAGTGATCAGCCGTACGAAAAATATGGATATGTAAACGTCCTTTAGGACGATATCGACGATCTTCATTTTAAACCATCAAACTTATTTTTTTATTTTATCTTTTATGAAATTTACATATTCTCCTTAATCTAATTTGGGAACTTACATTTCTAATGTATTCTTACAACACCTGGTTGAGTACACAAAATTAATTACCGCCATGTGTGCACGTCCGGGATTTATTTCCGGCTTTTCTTCCATGAATTAGAGATGCCATCCTACTTTCCTCCTTTCAATTAGGAACATGAAAGGTAAATTAATCAAGGATGTATGAAAATTGTGCTCCTCCTGCAGCACTCAGCGAGATGTTTCAAGTTTCAAAAACATGGTTTGTAAGATGAAATAAAAAACGTTTTTTGTTATATATACATTGTAATTAATGGTGAAATTAAGTGCTTTAGATCAATGTTAGTGTGACAAATTGGTGTTCCTCGTCGAGTAATTTGATGGAATTAATATGGCATTTCAACTAAGAACTCTCTCCAGAGAGCTATAGAGAGTAAGGATAAAGAGAAAGGCAGAGTTGCGGTTTGACCCAATATCTTAATTGCATAAGTTTTCGCTACGAATCGGCGGTTCACAGGGTCATAGGATAGCTAAGAGCCTTAATTAACTTGGTTAAGTGTCTCCCCTCTTATTTTACGTTAAGAATGGGATTATTAGGTTTTTCGATTCGATTGCAAATATATGTTCATCGTTAAAGCTTTTCCCGATTGAATGGCGTTTTGTAAGAGGGTGGCGGCGAGAAAAGAGATGGGCTCCTTAGTTAAGGGAATTTAATAAGAGAGCTTCTAGACTGAGCGGAAATTTCGCTTGCCTAGCTAATTCCATTATTTAAATGGCGGTGGTTGAAATATAAAACCGAATTCCTTCTTCTTAAAAATTCTTAAAAATTCGCAAATCCCACAGCGTTTCGCTTAACGTTTAGGATTGAGTGGTCGGGTCGTTAATAGTTATCCGTATTCCAAACGACGTTTCGCAATTTTGTTTGGTTGGCGGTCGAAATTCGATTAAATATTTACGAAAAAGCGATACCTAAATTGGATAAACCGATATAGAGTGGGTGGAAGGGCAAAAAGCGTTAATCACTAAATTAATTATCCAAGAGCAATCGATGGCCACCTGCCCTATCAGATAACTTCTTCCGGCAACTTGAAACTTTGATCTCGTTTTCTTATCCCCCTTCTTCTTCGCCATTTACGGCATCTTTTATAACTGAAAACCGCTTTTTCTTTCCCCTTAATTTACTTATTCACCCTTTTATCAAAGTTAATTTATCGTCCCTTTCTATAGAACAAAGGTGGTAAAATACACAAGAAATTTGCAAGGAAAGGTTAATAAAAAATTTAATTGATTATGATTTGTTTCGGCACATTCGTAAATTTATGTAGTTTAGCGTTTCTCATTGTTTAACCAAATTAAATTCGTGATGATAAACGATATGATATGTGGTAAAACATATAAACACAGTGCGATGTCGTCGCTGTTTGCGCAGTCACAAACAATGCTCGAAACCGAAGCACATTGTGCATCTAATTCTCGAATTCGGTGTACCGAACAAACCGAGAATAATAATTAGTACGAATTCATTGAAAATAGGCAAGCTCGACCACGCTTGTTATTTGCTTTACGTATTCGTATTAGAATCATAAACAATTTGCATTCGTACTTTAAACATATTCGAATTTGTATTATAATCGAATTTAAATATTTTAATTGACCACGTTGTATTATGCAACACGAATTAATTTCCACAGACGTAGATTTTACATCTTAGGAACAATAGAAGGGGTGAGAGAGAAAGGTGTAGAAGCATTATTGTTTAGTCCTCGACAAAGTTCAAAAACTTAAATGAAATCGCAAAGTTCCCAGTCTATAAGCCAACTCTTTAAACAAGGATCTAATTTCTTCACTTAAATGCAATTAATTTGAACGTTTCTGTAAAAAAGGGTGTTGGAGCGAGACGTTGGGATGAGTAGTTGGTATAAACTTACCGGAAAAGCATATAAGGTTAAGGAATTTTTGGGATGCACACCCGGAAATGTATTTTGTAACCCGGTGCAACGCCCCTCCGACAGCCAGGAAAGGAGAGGAAGTAAGAAGATAAATGATCGTACCGTTCGTAAAATCTCCATAGATCTTCATTCCGCCGTGATATCTGACGTTCCCGGACTTTTCGAGTAAAAAAACTACTCCCATTCGATAAATTGAACCGAGAAACGTGTCTTCTTTACGACGGAACACCAACGTAAATTGAGAACATCTTGTAGTCAATATAGAAAAAAGAAAACATTTTAGACCACCAACATTTTTAAACCAACAAAATTAGTATGATCACAAAATTTGTTTCTTAATATTTCCATAAAACTGTTCGATAAAGAAAGTGTTATCGCAAATCAATACCATATCGAAACATAGTTAGCTTTTAACATTTTATCTGACTACATTGTAATGTAAATAATGTTTTATAGATTGCTGTAGGGTTAATTCGCGTTTCAGGGTATTATATGTACAGCTAAGCCAAAATCGATGCCTTTTCGATACGAAACGGGACAGGTTTGAAATATTTGGCTGACACATTTTAACCTATTTACATTATGTGTAGTTAAAAATAAGACAATTAATTAGAGTAAGTTTTTTAGAAATACAATTAAAATTAATTTTGTACACGCATTAACAATCGCTTGAACAGTTTTCCATTAAACCGGTACGTGGTGTTGGTTGATTGTGATTGTTATTAAAGTTGTGTTTGGTTGAAATTCATCGCACACAAGTCGTGGCTTTCGTTAATTGATCCACAGTCCAATACCGGTTTGTTATATATGTATATCGAAATCTCGTTAATTCAACATTAACGCGACAATCGGACAGC